AAATTGCGTGTAAACAATTTAGTGGCTGGTTGGCGCCCTCCCCCGCCCCGAACTCCATACCTATCCCCTGCCTTTCTTCTACTTCTGCTTCGGCCTGTGCTTCTGCTTCTGCTGCTGCTGCTACTTCCTATTTGTCCCCGTTTCAATCCCCGTTTGCGCTTTAAGTTTATGAACTTTTGAAAGACTTGATTTAAGGTTAAATATAACAATATTTCATACCCCGGAAGCATATAGACAAACTTATAAGTTGCTGTCAAATGAGCCCTAAAAATGAACTCAATTGAAGTCGTTGATATGCCCCATGAGCTTTACTGAGAGAGCTGTTGAGAGCTCTAACTACATCATAATATTTCTTATGGAGTTTTTATGCTAATTCACTCATACGAGTTGGGAGTGAATGTATCGCCGTAATGTCTTAATTAAAAACTTATTAGTGCTTCAAACAAAACATACGTCATTGGGAAAATTTGATTCAATTGGAATTATTTTCTATTCCGTGTGACTTATAACAAGGTAAGGGCTCGTTACTCAGATGAAGCTCAGATCAGATTAAACTTGAATAAGAATTTGAGATAGACCTTTTAAGCTATTACTGAGCAGATATCTATCAATCTTGAATATTTTTTATATAATTTTTTCTAGCTATAGCATAAAAATTTAATTTTATTGCGTTTGATTTTAGAATATTAAAAAAATAGCTACTTCATTTTGCAAATTTGGCTACATTTTATTAATTTTTTTTCTTCAATTTTTGCATCTCTTTTGTTTGTCTTAGTTTATTAAAGATTTTTTTACTGAAATCTCCTCCCTCATTTTATTATTTTATTAGTTGTGAATGCTTAAATATATATTTTATATATATTTTGTATGTATTGTATCATTTGGCTCTGGATCGGGTATAATAATATATCTATTTACATGCTTTGCTATAAAATTCATTGTTGGCACTCGTTTTGTTCCCGTATCAATCTACGGTTGAATAAAGATTATACAAATCGTAGAGCGTAAAATGCAATGCTTGAAAAAATAGTTTAACTTAAAATTTTATTTGTATAAAATACATAATTTTAATTGATATATAATGATAATTTATAAATGATATATATAACTAATACCAGTCGTATATACATCTGTTCAGTATGTAAGTATGTTCTCCGAGTCTACAAAAGTGAATGAGCTTGCCACTGCGAAATAAAAAATCCAAAGCCAAAACTTAATTACTTTTCTCAAAACTTCAAAGTGCGCTCAAGGTTGGTCACACTGTTCTGCAGTGTGACCGTTGCCCGCTTTGAACTATGTACAAAAGCCAAAATGAACTTTTGGCCATGTATGTGGCAGTGCAATAAACGTGATTACAAAAAGTAACTCATCTTGTTGGTTTGCTTTAGCACAAAAGTTGCTTTGTGCACATTCCTTGGCGCTTTGGCCAAATGAAAATGAACTGAAAATGTGATATTGGAATTCCAATGGCTTGGCCAATACGGACAGCTGGCATTAAACAATTGCAAAGTTGCAAAGTCTTGACCACAAAGACCAGCCACACGCAGTCAGAGAGCTTAAAAACCACATACACAAACACATGCACACACACCCACACACGCACATACGCACACATGCAGTTCTCTTGACCGAATCGAATGGTATTGCCCTTTTGGCCATAGGTAACACTTATCTGGGCCAAGTTATGTGGCACTTTAAGCAGTTGGCCAGTTCGCACTGTCGCCTGCAATTTTGACTGGCAATAAATATGCCATAACAATAACTAAAACCAACTAATATCCGATTACTTTGGCTAAGGCCAAAGTGGAAATGTAGCGTGAAAAGCTGCAAGCCAATTGCGACAATAAACCAACCCCATCTCCCAATCTCTCCCACTTCCACTCTCTCTCTCTCTCTCTCTTTGCATCAGCATCATTTTGCCAAACATGAAACAAATGCATAAGTAAATACCAGAAACGAGTGACTTTCAATATCCTTACAGGCTTATTGCTTACAGCAAATTTCACGCCAAAGCCCAAGCAGAATGGCGAGTCGAGCAGGCGAAAGTCGAGGAGGAAGCCAATGCGAATGCATTTACACATTTGCAAACACATCACACGCACACACACACACACAGATAAATACCCACATAGCAGACAGTTGCAAACATGCAACATACAAATATGCGTACATCGACAGAGAGTGGAGCCGCCCCAAGGGATCCGCCAAGGGATCTCTGCTGAGGCTGTGGAGAGGTTCGGAGTCGGAGCATGGCTGTGAACGTCTGGATACGATACGATACGTTACGATTCGGTTTCGGTCTGCTCCATTTCAGTTGGCAGGGCTATGTGAGACTCGTGTGTCTGAGTGCGTCGCTGCCTGGAACGCATTTACGTTTATTGCATTTGTAAATTATTCACACAAGGATATTAAATGCAAATTGTGAAATAGACGACACACACAAGCGCTCCCTCTCACTCGCCCATATATACATACATATATATATGGCTACAATATCCGGCGCTAGCCCCCGACCCAATTCGAAAGCCAATCGAATAGCAAACCCAATGCATAGCGCCACGAATTACTCAAATGCTGCATATGATTGTCGCATTGACAATGCATTCATTTTTGTGTGTGTGTGTGCGTGCGTGTGTGTGCCGACTGCAAATGCAAAGAATCTCATTTCATATAAAGCCATTAACGACAATTCAGACAGCAGAAGCAACAATGGAACGCCTACAGCCCACTGAATTAAACACAATCGAGTTACGACTTTCAGCAGTCGGAGGAGCCGAAGGGAGCTGAAAGCAAAACGTCAAGTAGCTAGTTAGCAACCTGAGTATTTGATTAGACACTCAACAAATTGAACCTTGGCCATCGGAGCCAGCTTTGAAGTCAGCAAAATCAGCATCGATTGTAAACGAATAGTATTTATAGCCTTGGATTACGTTCGAGCATCACAATTCCACAGTAAAGTCCCAAGCAAGCAATAGTGGGTGAAATAGCTAGTTAGGTAACTTAAAATTTAATAAATTTAACTCGACCCATTGAAAAGTTCTGCTTTGAGTCGTGTGCAATTGGCATATTCAATTGAACTTCTAGTTGTTGACTTCGCATTTTGATTATATAGACGAAAGTTTCTTGACTTTCAGTTGTATTTAGAATATATACATTCAAATACGAGTTCTTTTACTTTAAATGCGATTAGCATGTTGCTTTAGAAACTAGACCTGCATGGAATTGCAACTGGAGTTTTCTTACCTCCTTTAAAAAAAAAAAAAAAAAAAAAAAAAAAAAAAAAAAACCTACACGCCAACGCGGCAGAGTATGTTCTCGTGGTTCAGATTCTGTTCTTGCTATAGATGGAGCCGCAGCAGCGATGGCAGCAGAAACTATGTGTATATATAATAACTAAATGTATAAATATAAATTAATATAAATATCTTAACACTAAAGTCCCACACTGAAGCGCAGTCCAAGCGACGCCCAAGCGCAATCGCTGCTCACAGCGCAGTTAGTAGAGAATCATTAGAATATCAGCTGACAGGGCTCAGGATATCTCCTAGTCGAGGAGTCTCGGCTAGAGCACCCTTACTTGTTAATTTAGAATAACCTAAATGGGTTGACCTCCAATGAGTTCAATCTATATTTTTACTTGTTTACATATCAATTATTAAGTCTGCTCTCTATTTGGCAAATTTATTTAGATATATCTCTGTGCTTTTTTGTATTTCCTCTTTGATAGGAGGAAGTTTCAGATCTTTATGAATGTCAACGTTTATCACACACCAAGGAGAGAACCTGTTGTTGTTCTATGGGTTTTAGACTGGTAACGCTGAAGAGTCTCAATACTTGATTTGCTGGTTTTATAACGGCTGTATATACCCGCTTTTTTTTAAGTATTTTTAAATATTTATCTATATACTTTTAAATCAAAAATGTAGAAATTAATAATGCAACAATATTAATTCATTAGTTGGCGCACTCAATAAATTAACTTGATTGTGTTTAACTATGAAATTCACGTAGTCTCCGTATTTATATCTCATAAGAACCCAACTGTCAATTCTTTAGGCAAGCTCTCAAATAGATGCTGTCCTTTGGAAATTGTTGTTCTTAACTTGGGGAAAATTAGATTTGCATGTTACGCTCGCTGGCACCTTTTTGGGCACAAACTTTGTCCACATGCTGCTGCTGCCGAACGAAGAACTAACCGAAGTATATCTAAACAAAAGTCTAATGTCAAATGGTTTTAGTGCACAGCATCTGCATGCGTGTTAAATTTCGTTAGTGAAATTTCAACTTTATGAACTTTTCCAGAGCCCGTGTTTTCCGATCCTTCTTTTTCCACTGCCGAGCATTGCCTGTGGGGCCTGGGTTTGTTTTTTGTGTGTGACATGTTTTTGACAGTGTTTTCCATTTTGTTTACATTTTTTCTTCTTCTTTTTCATAGGCCAAAGAAGCATTAGGGTAAAGGGCACTCAAGTTTATAAGCTAGTTAAAACTAAGGAGAGTATAATTGGGGTGCTGCATGGAAAGTAGAATATCCATATGTATGAATAATTTCTATGAAAGAAATTCACTTTCTATTCAGTATTAATTGCATAAGCATAATTCAATCTATGGAATGTGTTATATATTTGAATAAAAAAAATTGTTTATATATTAATAGATAAATACAAAGGAACATACCTTTCATACAAGGATATACTTTGATATTTTAATTATACCTTAATAATTACTATGTACATGTATATACAAAGAAAATGGCCTTGAGTACACTATAAAAATTTAATATACAAATTATACACAATATACATTATTTGAATAGGTGACATTCAAATTGTTATTAGAATTATAATTGCATAAACAAAAATTGTACTTTATAAATAAGTAAGAAAGCTCTAGTCGAGACTGCTCGACTACGAGATCCCCTGAACCCTACAAGCAACTGATATTTCAATAATAGTTAGCACACAC